ATATATATATATATATATTGCACCAGAAACAGTTATACTACAGTCCAAATCTGTTTCTTCTGTCACCGCCGCCCCTTGTGCGCCGCAGTGAAGGGCTACTTGACCAAGCACTTTTCGAATTGGGCGGCACCTCCCACAGCCACCACCTTCCTGGCAGCTTCTTCTTCCTTTCGTTAGCTGTAGAGGTCATCGTCACCAGCATTGTTGCCTGCGCTGCCGTTGCCACCCTCGTCGCCACCGCTTCGGTTGCCACCAATGTTGAGGTTATTATTGCCAAAGGCTCGTGACTGCTGGAGAGATGTAGCGAATAATTCGTACTTTCGGATGTCTGCATCGCTGACAGAACGACGTGCCCCACGCATAGCCTCCTCCACATGGTGTCGGGTGATCTCTGGCACTGGATCGATGTCTTGATTGCTGTCGAGAGCGCCATCCTGCCTTAGTTGCTCCAATTGAATCTCCTTCACAATTGATTCACGAATAGCCATCTTGCATGCTCGTTGGCAGATTCCCGCAAGATCGGCACCGGAGAAGCCGTGTGTGGCTGCGGCAATCTGATCCAGATCCACTTCTCCCGCCAGAGGTGATTTTCGGAAATTCGCCTTGAGAATGGCCACGCGCGACGCCTTATCCGGCAGCGGGATATAGAGGAGTTGATCCAAGCGTCCAGGACGCATAATGGCAGGGTCCAGAACATCTGGGCGGTTGGTGGCTCCAATAATGAAGACATTCTTTTTGGTGTTCATGCCGTCCATCTCTGTGAGAATCTGGTTGATGACGCGATCACTGGCACCATTATCACCGTGGCCACCACCACGTGCCCTTGCGACAGAATCCAGTTCATCAAAGAAAAGAACACACGGGGCGGCAGCGCGGGCCTTGTCGAAGACATCACGTACATTTGCCTCTGACTCACCAAACCACATTGTTAGCAATTCTGGACCTTTAATAGAGATAAAGTTTGCCTGACACTCGGTGGCGATAGCCTTTGCCAAGAGTGTCTTACCGCATCCAGGCGGGCCATAGAACAAAACACCCTTAGGTGGTGACACGCCATACTTTTCGAACTTCCACGGAAACTCAACTGGGTACTGCACAAGTTCCTGCAACTCCCTCTTGACATCGAGGAGACCACCAACGTCGCTCCACGTGACGTGGGGTGTCTCCACGTGTGTTTCACGAAGCGCGGAGGGGTTCGTCTTCGACAGCGCATCATGGAAATGATCATTTGTTACTGCCATGGAATCGAGCACCTCTGCATCAATTGTATCGTCATCCCAATCGACAACAGACATCTTTTCCCGAACGCACTGCATCGCAGCTTCCGTACAGAGCTGTGCAAGATCAGCACCAACGTATCCATGACTGTCTTTGGCTACCTTCTCCACGTCGACGTCCTTATCGAGCTTCATGTTCTTGGTGTGAATGCGGAGAATTTCTAAACGGCCAATTTCATCTGGTACACCAATATCCAATTCACGATCAAAGCGTCCAAAACGACGGAGTGCAGGGTCAATGGAATTGGGTCGGTTCGTCGCCGCCATGACGATGACCTGTGAACGAGACTTCAGTCCGTCCATGAGTGTAAGCAGCTGAGAAACAATGCGCTTCTCCACCTCACCCTGCGCCTTCTCTCGCTTCGGAGCAATGGAATCAATCTCATCAATGAAGATGATAGACGGGGCGTTCTTCTCCGCCTCTTCGAAAGCCTTACGAAGATTTCCCTCTGACTCACCCGCCATCTTGCTCATGATTTCAGGGCCATTGATCAAGAAGAAGAACGCACCTGTTTCGTTCGCAACAGCACGCGCAATCAGCGTCTTGCCACTGCCCGGCGGACCGTACAACAAAATACCGCGTGGAGGTTTGATTCCAATGTTCTTGAAGAGCTCAGGGTGACGAATGGGGAGTTCGACCATCTCGCGGATCTGCCCCAACTGCTTGCGGCAGCCACCAATATCATCGTAGCCCACATCATCAAGGCGCTCTTCATCTTCTCGACGAATCGGGTCGCCTTCGCAATGAATGACTGTATCTGGAGAAACGATGCAGAATTCACCTGGATCCACCTCAACCACCTTGAACTCCACCGAACGCATGGCACCACGGCAGATAAACAAGTCATCCTTTTTCACAGGGCGGTAGGCCTCCAAAAAGTATGGCTTAAGGAACGTCTCAAAAAGATCACCTGTGAGGTTCTTTACTGTGTCATCTATCGGGAGAATGTGAACACGGTTGCCGTAAGGAACATTCTTACAGCTGCTGACATGAATGGTATCACCAAGGTGAATGCGGATGTTGCGACGCGCCAACTTGTTTATCTTGATCATACCCTCTTGGCATTCATCATCTTCCATAGCAATACAGAGAGTAGAGCGGTGTTTCTTGCCCTTAAGCATTACTGTATCTCCGCGGAAGATGTTCAGCTCCTCCATGCGTTTTGGGTTCATTATTATCAGGCTATTGTCATCGCCCTGTAAATCATCAACAACGAGCTTATTGGGCTTCAGGGTCTTTTGAGGTTCTGTGGGGGCCGACATTCTTTTTCGTCTGAATAAATTGGGTTGTATGCACTTTCTTTGTTTTGTTGGCATCAGTAGACAAAAAGGAGAGATTAAAAGAGGAGTGTGGAAGGCACAAAGAAACCGTCTCTCTCTGTATGTGTATGTATGTATGTGTGTGTGTGTGTGTGTGTGACGGAGGGGGGAGGGGAGGGGGAATAATGCATATTACAACAGCACGCCCAATCAAAGAAGCGAACGAGACAAACTCAGTACCCACACTTCAGATGAGATGCTGTATATATATATATAAAAGCACACACAAAGACAGAAAGAGAGAGAGATAGTCTGTGGGGGGAATGGAAGATACGCAAATATGCAAGAAGAAGGCACGGAGCTCGCTCCCCCCATAGCTCGCCCTTTCTATCCCTCTCTCTCGCACACACACTGTATGGACGTGTGTGCATTCGGGCATGTGTGTGTGAGTGTCTTCTTTCATTCTTCCTGCGTGCCGCCACCTCCACGTCACCGCTGCTGTCCCGCTCGCGCGAACCAAAGGTGCGGACAACTGCTCCGTCAGCAACACCAGTATAACCGGAAACAAAAACAAAAAAATGAAGAAGAACACTTACACCCAAATAACCCCTCGTCACGAATTGTCACGCGTCACAAGTTCCTTCTACCCAAACACTGAAGCAAAAGTGTAATAGGTACCACCCACCCACACAATCATTGCAAACAAAAGGTAAAAGTACCATCTGCGTTCGGCAACGTCGTCCGGAAGCTTAAAAAGGAGCGAAATATACTCCGAAACAGATAACTCATTGTGTCTCCCACTATCCACAACACGATCAGTTAACAAAGCCAACAAAACTGGCATGGTGATCATGAGGTGCACCCCGGTGAAGGCCCCAAGAAAACTCGCAAAGACATTGATAGTGTCGGCACCAATGGAGCCAGCAAGTACGCTAAAGAAAATATTTAGGGAGATACGAACAAGGTACGCCTCCTTACGATTCCTCCGCAAATTGATGCCGAGGGCCCTGTCGACCAATTGAATCGCCGGCACGTACTGAATGGGGTAACCGAAAATGAGACTCAGACCCAGTAATACCTGCAGCAGACGTTTCATGGTGCTAGGCGGAAGTGCGAGCACTACAGAGGTCTGCAGTGCCCCACCGAATGCCATATAACCGAGCAAACCAAATACAAAGTAGAGTGCCACGACACTGGTAAGCGTCCACTTCACCAGTGAGGGAAATCGCCGGCGGTCCTCCGGCGCCATGCTGTTCTCCACGGGTAGCACAACACCGATGCCCTCGAGGGAAAACATGTGCCCTGAAATAAACACCAATACCCGCATTGTTGGGACAAAAAACGCCGTTCCTGGAGCTAGCCCTTGTGTTGACAAATTTTTTACCTCCTCTGCGGTCACTCCTGCAAGCACAACTGCAACAAAAACCGCGGCAATCATTGACGCATACGCCAATGCGCCCATGCGGTTAGAGAAAAACGTCATGGGCGTCACCACCAATGCACTAAGAACCACAAATGCTTCATACATGTGCTGAATATTGAATAGGGCAGCGAACATGGACGAGGCATACTGAATGTACACCACGCAAAAGCCGAATTGGGTAAATATAAGTGAGAACCTAGTGAAGTGCATCAAATTGCGACCCAAGACGTACTCGACAACGGCGGGATACGTTCGCACTTCAACACGATTAATCTTTTGTTTTGCGTAGAGAAGAGCCAACGCACAGTCAATCATTAACACTCCCAGGAGGAGAAAAAGTACGACGCCGAGTCCATAGCCTGCGTCTTGATAGTACGTGGGCAACAAAAAGACACCGGCCCCAACGTTCCCCTTGAATATATGGAATGCTGCGCGGCCCATCGTGCTGTGCACCTCCTCCCGCTGTGCGACGGAGGCAACACTCCGTAGTGAACATTCCACCACATCATTCAGCCGCTCCCCCAACGAGTGGATATCGTACTCTTCCTCACTCACAGTCTCGTCCACTTCATCATTGTCAAAACTGTCACCATAGTTGACTCTTACATTTTTCCTTTTATCACTGCCACTTTGTTGTTTTATTTCACCTTCCACCGTCACATCCGTAGTAGTGTGGTAATTAGGCGGCACGTGATGCGCGGCGTGGTGCAGCATTGACCGGTGCGGCGAAACCTCCGCAAAGGTGGTGGGCGGTTTATCCTGGGAGTGCGCAGCGGGGGGTGGTGTGCGTCTCCTGCTCCCCTCCGACAGCGCAGACGAGCGCCGCTCCTCACTGCGCCACGATGGGACGGTGCGCAGCGCGGTGTCTCTTACTGACGCGCTGCTGCTCACCGGCAGATGAGATTCCTTCACACTACCACGACAGGATTCGTTTTGAACTGGCAGCGCATCAGCGACATCCTCTGTGCTTGGTGCTGTCGCAGTTCCGCCGGTGCGTGTGTGCGTTGCGGTGCGAGCGGCAACGGCATCAACAGTTTTAACGGCACGTGAAGATTCGGCGTCTTGTGAGGCCATTTATTTTTGTCTCTTTCCCTTCCAAACACTACTACATTTCCACGCCGAACAGAAAGCACAGGAGGAAGCAAAGAAATATATATTTCTACTCCAAGGAACATCGATGCGTTTAACACTCTTTACCCCCCCC